AGTATCATAACTAAAGGGTGTGGAACAGCAGATCAAAAAGTGAATCATCGACTGGTACCCAAGACGCTTCAAAAAAGTTATAAAGATCAATGACGCGATGAGCCGATCCGATAACTTAGATGTATTGTGAATGTGGAGAGCTTAAGACTGAAGTTAACAGCATAGTTTCCGCTACACCGCTAGAAAATGCTTCGAATAAAAATCGCTGTATTCAAATAAAGCTGTCGCTTCACGTATTCAAATAAATAGAAAAAAATTATAAACAAAATTACGACTTTCAGTCGCGCAAAAAATCCCCGCAAAAATGCGTAAAGCAATGCTGACCTGTCCAACGATCGGTTTCCCGCATGAACCGCAATCACCTTTTGGTATTGTGCTGATACCATGCTTTGACATATCCTTCTGAAGTGTTCCCAACATTGAATCCAACTGCAACGGATCTCCCGATGATGAAGATCTTGGCTGTAAAAATTCATATAAAAACACGATTGGAACCGTATGCCCAAAAGTCCCTGAGGAATCGGAGCCCAGAAGTCCCCAAACAAAGAAAACAGATTAGTTGTTAAGTCAAGCTGAATCAGCTGGGATCTATTGTATCTTTTTTTACCTTCCATTCGTTCCCGTAAATTAATTTTCCAGTTTTTGAATACAGCCACTTAGTACCAAATAAGAAAGCAATTTTTTGCTATCCAATTAAAACCACTTTTCCAATTTTTGCGGGAAATTTCGATGACGCAGGGTAAGGTATGAAATTTCGCAATCTAACGAATAGCGATAGCAGTAGGGCAAAACGCTTAGCAAATAGACTTTATTTCATTGTTGAAAAAATTGACTGAGGAAGCTGTCGAATTTTTTGATGTTTACTGAGGGGAAAGAAATGCAGGGTGCACTATGGGGCAAAAAAAAGTGGATGTAGAGAGGAGGATAAACGTCTCTATAACCAACCATTCATCCCAACTAGTTCTTGTTTTTCAGAACTTTGCGTGAGTTCAAAAAGCCAAGAGGTTTAGTCAACAGACATAAAGAAAGAGAGCAACAACAGCCGAGTTGCAGCTACTAGCTTTATTGATCCGCATGGATCAAGGATGAGTTGTCATCAACAAAGCTTCATGGCTTGACAGGGAAAAAAAACAATAATTTAACCTCACCGGTTATTGTGCGCTGCTAAAATATTCAGGTGTAAAAGGACAGCAAAGGGAATATATGCCAGGAAGATAAGCTGGGCTGGTCAAGCGGCAAGAATGAGAGATAAAAGATGGACGAAGCAAACAGCAGAATAGTATCCGCTGTGTATTAAGGGATAAGTACGAAGTTCAGCGCATGACAGATCGAAACTGAATGTTTTGAGCGGTGTGAATGAGGAAAGCAACAAAAAAAAGTGGAAAAGTTGTCAGCTGCATAGTTGGAAAAATGATACTACGAATCGGTAATTGTTTCAAGTGTTCCAGGTATAATGATTAGATAATTAATTAATCAAATAATCTGAAATGAAACCGAAATTAAGAAATGAATACCAAGTCGCTGTGTGTTCCATTTGATTGCGATGACTGAATACTTTTAC